GATAGATAGATAGATAGATAGATAGATAGATAAAAAGAAGGTAAGTAGGCAGTTAAGAAGGTAGATGGATGAACAGCTAAGTAAATAGGTAGAAAGAAGATAGGTAGAAATATAGAGGTGAAAGATGGATGGATGTGTGGATAGATGGGTAGATGGTTGGTTGGTTGGATGGATAGATGGGTCGATTTCTATGAATGATTCAGATAGAGAGATAGACAGATAAATCAAGCAGCAGGTAGACTAGGTCAGAAGGCCTGAGTGCCTGCTGTTAACCCTTTGCTGGACCCCCTCCCCACGTTTCAGACCATGAAGAAGATGCACAAGGCCTGCCTGAAGTACCCGGAGTGGAAGCAGCGGCACAACCCGCCCTTCAAGCCCTGGCTGTTCCCGGAGCAGAACACGCTGTCCCCGCTCTCGCTCTCGGAGCTGGCCATCCAGCACGCCGACTCCCTGGAGAACATCGACGAGAGCAGCCTCTCCGAGGAGGCCAAGGACGAGCGGGGAGAGGCCAGCGACGAGGACAGCGTCAACTGACCGACTGCCCCTTTGTCCATGGCTGCGGGTCTCGACCCACCTGCCTGGGCACCACCCCCTTTTTATTGGGTTTGTGTAAGCGTTTGCGTTTTTCCAAAAAAGAGAGAGAGAAAGGCTTGATTCCCCCCAACACACTTTGGCATCTCTCGCACTCGGGGCCAGGGCTGGTGGCGCAGCAGAGGGAAACCTTTCTGCAGATTGGAAAAGTCCTGCCATTCTTCAAGTGCTCGCTCTTTCTGGGGTCCAGCACTGACTCTCTTTGTGCACATTCTCTCTCGTCCTCCTTTCCATAATTCCTTTATTTGTTTCTTCTTTTTGCAATGGGAGATGGTCGTGGGTTGGAAGGGGAGCCATGAAGACTTGCACTCTTCACTCCTGGGGATTTGGAAAGAGGGAAACAGGCCCCGCTTCCTATCCATGTTGTTCTTCTCTTCTGAAATGAATCCCCCAGGTTTGGCTTCCATGGGAACCTGGCTGGGATTTCCCCATTCTCTGCAATGATCATGCAATTCCTTCTGAATTAAGAATTCTTGAAAACGTTGCAGCAGGAGCAGAGTTCATGACTGGCACCAAACTAAACAGTGGCATAAATTATCTATCTATCTATCTATCTATCTATCTATCTATCTATCTATCTATCTATCTATCTATCT